TATTGATAGAATTCAACTATTCTTCCTAGAAATGAAACGACAATTTGAATTGGAAAGAGTAAGCCAACAGCAATATCTCCAAAGCAGTTGAATTTTTACTATGCAGGTTGTTATTTCTACTTGAACTTGATGGTTCAAATCTTTCTATGTTTAGAGACTATGAACTATCTTGAGAGGATTGGAAATTCCTTAGTCAATGATCAACAGCTATCAGCAATCATGTGTCACACAAAGATTACTGTAAAAAACGATGAAGAGTTGAATTGAGTTCCATAGTGAGTAAGGGTTAAGGGTACAACAATAACAAAAATTCAAAAGGAAATGTATCTCAATTACGAAAAGTGAAGATCATGATTCATATATAAACCGAATGAGTGTTTTTTTACAAACCAATTTAAATCTCAAGTTGTTGTCTAACAAATTGTCTTACACTATTCTCATACTGCTTCTTGTCCTCTCTAAACAATTTCTATGGCCGTCAAATCAACAAATCCATAACCGTACCACAGAAGGAACAAAAAGGAAACCAAAGAACACTTAATTAGAAAAGTAAATCTCAACTTCAAATGTTCAGAACAAAACAAAAACTTACACAACATTCAATATTGGCACCACTTTCAATATTAGGTTCAGCCAACATACTGATCACACTTAATAAGATTTTCTCAACCGATTGTACAGGTGACCAACGTTCTGATGCTGATTCGTATTGATTTGGATCATCACCAGGAGGATGTAAGATCGAGATACAAACTTCACCATTCGTATATACATTTGGATGTAATAATGGTGGTTTAAATGTCATCTAAAGAACAGATTTATAGTGACGATAGAAAAACTTCCTGATTAGCTTTGATAAAATTAGTTCAAGATCTAATAGAATGAGTTTTACTTTAGGTGGTGAAAGTGGATAATCTCTAGGAAAAGTTAAGATTGCAGTAAAGATTCCTCCTTCGAATGGTGTATCTTCTGGCCCAGCAATTAAAGCTTCCCATATGAAAAAATCAGATTCTGATACAGGACCTAGAAAACAAAAGATGTGATGTTCATGATTGGATGATGATCAATTTAGAGATCCAAAGTTAGAGAGAGAAAGAAGTTTACCTGCAACAAACATTACTTCTTCCTCTGATGTAGATTGTTTTGATGATTTATTATTCAATTGTCGATACTGTTTTATTGAAAGCGTTAGAAGAGTTAAAGTTTTGTTGAGATTGATATTCAAAGACAGCTCAACTAACTTCTGTCATTAATCTTTTGAGTGCTGTGGTAGCTTGAGCTCGAGGGTTATGCATGTTGTTGATGTTAAATGAAAGGTAGTGAAATGAGATTCAGATCAAGACAATGATCAAGGAAATGGTATGAATATCTAGATTGAAAATGTATTAATTTAACAGAGTTTTCAATAATGTAGTTTGATCCCAATGACGTCCTGACTAGGTAATTTCATCGATTCACATTCGATCAACATCAAATTATCACATTCACCTCAATCACCATCACCATCACCATCACAATGGCATCCTTAGTCGCAATCTGTGACTTGAAAGGAAAAGTAATTAACCCATTAACACTCTCTTCCACATCAACATCAATCTAATCCGTTCATTAATTGATATTTTATGGTTTCAATTCTTAAATTAACCTAGAGTTTGATTCAACGAAATTATAGGGACGATGTCCTACCATCTACGATTGAAAAGTTTATGCCTTCTTTACTTGAGATGGAAGAGAACGATTTGTCATCTGTCACTCCTTGTTTTACTGTGGCAGGTATTAATTATATGTTAGTCTCTTTTTTTCATACAAAAGTTTTCAAGATATTGATTCATTGTGGGGGTTTTTAGGTATATTCGACATAATAATTTGTATCGTAGGTTATAATAAACAAAGCTTAATACGACTTATGATTATTTAAGACTCGTTCACTGAAGTATTTCGTTTTGATCATTTTGAAAACCAAAATAGTGATTGCATTATCGAAACGAAATTCAAATGCGGCTGAGATTTTAACTTTTTTACATAAATTAGCTCAGGTATTTTATGATCAATTTCGAATATATAGTCAAAAATCATCAGCTTTCAAGATTTGGATGGATAAATTTAATCAATTCATTTCTTCGTATCATTTTAAAACAATATTTAGGTTCTTTCTGAATACTTTAAAGAATTGGAAGAAGAATCTATTCGAGATAACGTAAATATTTGAATCTAAACCTCTCAACAAACCATCATTAAATCCTGAACCTAACGTGTCGTTGTTTTTTGGCTTTGGTGATAGTTTGTGATCATTTATGAACTCTTGGATGAAATGATGGATTATGGTTATCCACAAACCACCGAATCTAAAATCTTACAAGAATACATTACCCAAGAGTCACATAAACTTGAAATTCAAGTTAGACCTCCTATGGCAGTGACGAATGCAGTTAGTTGGAGATCTGAAGGTATAAGGTACAGGAAAAATGAAGTCTTTTTAGTATGTTTTCAAACGTCTTCTCACTTTCAAATCATCATATACAAAGTCATTTAACGTCATCATTTTTTTCTGGTTTTTGTTTAGGATGTGGTTGAGAGTGTGAACTTGTTGGTGAACGCTAATGGAAATGTAGTCAGAAGTGAAATCTTGGGTGCAGTGAAGATGAAATGTTATTTAAGTGGAATGCCTGAGTTGAGGTTAGGATTAAATGATAAAGTGATGTTTGAAAGTACTGGTCGAAGTATGATGATTTCCTTTTTTTCTTTTTCAAGAACACTTGATTAGAGAAATCATTTACTGATATGGGTTATTTTGTGTGTTCTTCTGTTCAAATGTGTTTAATAAAAAAAATTAGCTTCGAGGGGAAAATCTATCGAAATGGAAGACACAAAGTTTCATCAAGTAAAAGGATTTTTATTCTTACCGATAGAAAATTTACAAACCAAATACAAAAAAAGAGCTTACTGACGATCTTTTTAAATTGGTTTACGTTTTTCTTCTTCTATTTCAAAGTGTGTCAGATTATCAAGATTTGAAAATGATCGAACGATTTCATTTATTCCACCAGATGGAGAATTCGAATTAATGTCCTACCGAATTAATACCCAAGTCAAACCATTAATATGGGCAGAAGCAATGGTCGAAGTGCATTCAAATAGTAGAGTAGAATATGTAGTAAAAGCCAAAGCTCAATTCAAAAGAAGATCAACAGCCAATAATGTCGAAATTTATGTACCTGTACCTGATGATGCCGATTCTCCTAGGTTTAGAGCCTCGGTTGGGACGGTTCATTATGTACCGGAGAAATCAGCTTTTGTTTGGAAGATTAAACAGTTGGGTGGTGGAAGAGAGTATTTGATGAGAGCTCAATTTGGTTTACCATCAGTTAGAAGTGGTAAGTTTTGTTTCTGTTAGTTTCGAGAGAAGAAGAAGTTGAATTGATTCAGTTTGGTTTTGATGTTCCAAATTTGATGAAAGATGATGCGATTGAGAAAAGAGCACCTATCACGATTAAATTTGAAATTCCTTATTTTACTGTTTCTGGAATTCAAGTTAGATATTTGAAAATTGTTGAAAAATCGGGTTATCAAGCTCTTCCTTGGGTTAGGTAAGAAAACTCATTGAGTTATCTTGTCGAAGTATATGTATACTTTGTGATATTCTAAGCTTTATTTGACCCTATGATTGATTAATAGGTATATTACTCAGCATGGTGATGATTATTCACTACGAACGTGAGTCTACTTTCTTCTTTTCTTGATTTTATAAGTGTTTTTTCTGTTACTTATCAACTTTGATTTGACTGGTTTAATTGGGGATTATATATCTTGGATCATGATAGATGTATTGATAAATCTACTGCACAATCATTTTCGGCTGTTTGATAAAAAAGACACATTTACATATCAATATATACGCATAAATACATGGGTTTTTGAAAAGATTTGTAATATGTTGTGAGGGTTTTGATTTTGATTTTCTTTGGAATGAAGAGTGGGTTTTTTAATTTGTAATGTAGATAAATAGGAAGTGATCTTTGGTTTTTGTGTATAGATGAAAAGAGAGAGAGAGAGCAGAGCAAATGATTTTCATCTGTAATCAACTTGTGATAAGTCATATATCACTTATTCCGCATTGATTCCTTACTCAATAACCTTGCTTATTGACAGATCTCAAATACTCAAGATGTTTGATTTTGAAGAAGGAGGCCGATTTTTTAGAAGGGAGAAAACACAATCGATTGATCCAAAAGAATACGGATGGACAGTCCTCGGTCTCCCAGATCTGAGACCACTTTCAGACTCTGGAAAGATTGGATTTTGGAACAGGGGATATGTTTTGGAGCTCAACTTTGATTATCCTAATTTTCAGGAGCATGCACTGCATCATCAACACCAAACGATTTATTCAACAATCATCAAATTTGAAGCTCTCCTATGTTGCCTGAGACCCAGTCATCCCCATAATATCTCAGTCAAGCTACAACAGTGTGATTGTGTCGAGAATCCATTGCAAACATATTCAAAACCATGTGAGCATTGTTTGCAGAATGTTGTTTCTTTTATACATTAAATTCTCATTGGGATGTCCAAAAACTTTTCCCAGTTTCGTGAAATTTTGCGTGAAATTTTGTGAATTTGGGAATAGTTTTTTGAGCTCAAAGCGGCAAAAAATCTGACTTGAGCCCCCTTACTATCCACAGTCCAGAAGTGCAAATGTGGGCGTTTACCCGCCAAGATTTGGGTTATTGGCATTCAGTAAACTCTCCTGGCAATTCACAGAACACATATTTGTATACCCTAAATGAACATATAGATAACAGACTGACTTAATGATGATGAGTTGTACAAGTCTGGTGAATGATTAGACTTATCTAATCTATACAAGAGATACTAAACAATAGGATTGTCTTTTGCTACTGATGCATCAAACACAAACAGCAATAAGTTAACTCCCTAAAAATACATGTCACAGTGACTATATCGAGCAGATTCCTTTGCCAAAGTTAGCAAAAGAAAATTGATCCCAGTGGGGATCGAACCCACGACATACTGCGCATCCACTTGTAAAGCAGGCATTCTACCACTGAATTATGGAACCGATGATTCAGATCAGTGAATTACGTATTTCTAACACGTGTATCAGCCCCGGTAAGATTAAAATTGAGAAAGTGAAGAAAAGATTCTTTACATTTAGTCTGATTGAAATGCAGTTCTTTCCATTCAATCAGTCTTTTTCTTTAACTAGGGGTTGCTGATGCCAAGCCACCACAATGCTTTCACATCAAAGTAATCCACATGTGTCCTCACGACCAATCCCATAATACCCATATAGCACAAACCTGTCACACTATTCAAGCAGCCCTTCATCCAAAGGAGTCAATAGATTTCAAGGAGGTGTGACAGTTTTCAGGGGACTATTGGGTTTGGCGTAAAGTTTGTTGTGGGGCCTGACTGTGGCTTTTTTCAAGATAATGCATCTGGTTTTATTATTGATGGTTGGAGTTCACATACATCAATTCTGCATCTGATAATTCTTTTGCAGTCAGAGGATTCATGACTATAATCTGATCTTACAATGCATGCCCATCATATACAGGACTCTACATACTTGACACATTTGTACAATACTTACGAGATATTGGAGAACTTTTGTAATAAGGAAGTCAAAGCATCACAAGTCATAAATTGATGGTGAAACAAAACTTGAAAGAAATACACTTGATTTCAGCTTAACAAGACTTATACATACATATTACTTTGGCATTTCCAAAAGGAACTTTGAATTTGTCTCTTTAAGGATCAGTTTAAATTGTTAGGCTACAAGACGTAATTTGACTATCAAAGTACTATTGCTTCTATAGAAAAAAGATAAAAAAACATTATGATTTTCTATATAACATACTTGCCTGAAAATTACATTGCTCGGCTCAAGGCTCTAGATATGTAGGTGGCTTTAAGGCCATCTTATTGGTCAAATCTGTCTTTTCTAGCTAGAATCCAGGAACTTTGATTCCGCAGGCATGTACCCCTGTAATCAAAAGATTGAGGATATCAAATGTGATTGAATACTCAAGTGCTTCATGAATGAGTATTGTGCACTTATAGTGAATGGAACAATTGTCTCCCGCAAGATTAAAAAGTGGTATGCATGGTTGAGCTCATATTTATAGCTTTTTGAAACCTGCTTCCAACAAGGACCATGGTGACCTATACAAGTTGTTTTTGAAAAACTTTGCAGACTTGAGCTGCGCCTGAAATGGATAATGGGTCAGTGAACATTTTGATCATGGGTCTCGACAGGTCTGTTGATTGAAGAATATCACTACGGAGAGTATGCTTATAAACGTTTATCTATGAGCTCAGTGTCAATCCTCCACCGTAAAAAATACATCCTGAAATTCTCAAATTACTCTACAAAGAACATTCTCAAGCTTCATCTCTCCTTTCTTTCCTATCAAAATGGCCACACGCTTGCCCAACCTCGCTCATAATCTTTGCAGTCAGCTTCAGAACACATCACGAAGACGTCTTCGACATGTTCCTATACCATCCAACATCCTTCATTCCTCGATTCTCAATGTGTTATTGAACGAAGGCTTTGTTTCAGCGGTATCACGCGGAACAATGGAAGGACCTGACCCGAGTTCGTTTATCAAGGCTCCATTGAGCGATCGAAGGCTTTGGGTAGAACACAAGTTTCGTGATGAGCAAGCTGTGCTTCGATCGGCATCTGCAGTCAGCAAACCTAGTCTAAGGGTCTATATGTCAAAGGACGAATTGAAGGATTTCATCCTTGGGAAAGGTAGTAAGGGATTGAGATTAGGGGAAATATGTGTAGTACGAAGTTTGGATGGAAAATCATATTGGGAAGGAAGGGAAGCATTAAGGGTGATGGGAAACGAAGCTGTGGAGGTCGTTTGTCGAATCTCGTCGTAAAAGATGTCAATTTTTCTTTATATGTCTGTGGAGTTGAAAGTCCTGTAACTATACGTTGTAAGAGATTTTTGCTGGTTTTTTTTGAAATATCTTTGGTTTCTTGGTTCTGATGAAAGATGTGTGTTTTTCATTGCAGTACACAAACGAGAGCGATAAAGACCATTCATACAAACCATTCTTGCTTTGAAGATCAAATTTCTTACCCGAAAAAATAAAAATTCACACCAAAGTACATTGCTCTCGCGAATCTTACTAAGAGTTTAATTCTTCTTCTGCGAAATAACGTTAAAGTTCAAATTATAATACCAACCTCTGAAATACAAGCCGTTGGTTCTATCAGCTCTCAATCTTGTTTCCAACCTAGTTGTGAGTTTGAACACCTTGATTGAAACTGAGAGCAGCTTCAGCTCTGTAGTTTTAAAATCTATACCTTACTTTTGCAACAACAACTGAATCAAAATCCGGATATTTATTACAAAATATTGTAGTTTATGACACAAAAAACTTGGTCACTCAGACATGACATTTTAAAAACAATCTCCCAATTGGATCTAGCAATCGGTCATTTACCTCCTTGACAAGCTTTTTGAATGAATATGATGTGCAATCCATTTAATCCAACTTCCATCCATGAAATCTTATGAGTCACTTTATATTCTGGCTGTGCTTAGTGTGATTTTACGTGTCGTAGACATCATCACAACTGTGCTCTCTTGATCTTGGGCATACGTATTCCACATTGAGTGAGTTGTGCGACAGCTGCTTACAGGTGTGTTCGAGTATTTGAAAGACGCCTTTGAATCTTGATTTTTCTCGAGTGCACCAGAAAGGTCTGTGAAGGTATATAGAGCTGAAGAAACTCGATCTTTCCTTGAAGCCTTTTTAAAGACATCACCAAGGCTGAGCCTATCGGTGAGCAGTCCCTCATATCTCGCGGGACCGTCATGGTGGGCGTAGAGGCGTTTTGATCAGCCAATCTTGCTTAGCACAAGCATTGCAGTCCAACAGTCATTGAGATGTCTCTTTCAATGCAGTGAAAAAATCTTTCCCTATTGCTATAAACTCGCTATGAAGTTCAGATCGGATCCAGCGTTGCTCATCTTTCCACAATATCATACATTGCCATTGGTAATGACTATGAAATATTTTTGGTTCGTCAATAGCTTTGACTTCCTGCGCGTAGCTATATGTGCAGGCTTTCACTGGGTATTGTGACGTCCATCGATGTTTCTGATGGACTGATGTCATAGTCTGTTACAGGTCAGTGATCCGAAGCCCGGTTGGAGATGTGCCATATAGGTATAGCGAAAGTTGCTTGGGTCGACGCATAGAGCCAACTCAACCCACCTTGTCAAAAGAGTCATGACCGAATCATCAGACTCCAATGAAGTTCTCTACACAGTCATCAAGACCTCAATCCATAAAGCATCAATTGAAGCAGCTGCCGTTACGAGCATTTCACCATTAGGTCAAGTGCCATATCCTCATCATCTCACCCTCGACGTCGTTGTGGAGGCTACTTTACCACTCAACGTACCCATAGAAGCATGCGAGGTCCTTCCTGCACCAGACCATATGGTTCGTCTTGGGGTCCGAATCAAACATGCGCGAGTTTTCCTTGCGCCCTGCGAAGGTCTTGTAAACCCTCTGATGACTGTCCTCGTTGGGGTTTTGAGCGAAGTACATCTAAAGTCTTTGTGTCACTCTCAGAGATGATTCCAAGTTTCTTTTTGGCTTCTTTGTTATTCAGTACGCTCGGGACGGGCGTGCATGCTTTGAAAAGGTTGAAGAGAAAGTATGCTTGCCGGGCAGCAAAGATTACTCGAGTGGTTAGCCCTTCCTGAGCTCTGCATTAAATTTTCACTACTAATTCTCTCCATGATTAGTCGAGTTGCAGGTTTCACCGTTGGATGAAAAAACCAGAAGTCGGTTTGCATCAGGAAAACCTATTGCATATCTCAAATGTGCACAGCTCTTGATGACTTTTTCGGGATCGACCCTCTCAAACCTTGAGACCCACTTGGCCGCTTCTCCGCTAGGAAGACCTCTAGCGGTCTCTGTCAAAAGAGTTACTGAACAAATGCTAGCACGAGGGTTTTTGAAACGCTGGCCGTTTGTTTTCAATCGGATCTGGAGAGAAGTACATCTTCCCTGTGCAGCTTCAAGAGGTCATCGAAAGAGCTAATCGAATCGTTTGACTAAATTTATCCTCACCTGATCACTAATCTTTTAAGAAAATCGTGAAGGCTTGGCCAATTCAAGACTCGATTTCCGACTCACTCTGTCAATTGGCCAGTCGTAGCCGAAACCCTTCTTTGCTGGCAAGATTGTGCGGTCTCAGAGAGGTCATACTTTTAATTTCCCACCCTATTGAACGCAATCCTTTTTGCACTCAAGCTGAGGCGTACTTTGATTTCCCAATCCATAGACTTCTGACACAAGGCCACTTGTAGAGGTGGTCAGTCAAAAGCTTTTTAACCTCCACAAGTCTCTCGAAAGACCGATCATCACCATTCCGCAAGCCCGCCATTCACCTGAACTTGATTTTTCTGATCTTGGACAATCTGAAGAGGCAAAAGAGGAAGATCTCAAGTCAATCCAGATTCAGACTGATGACACTCACGATGACAAAGTCCTTGAGTTAGACAGTGAAATTGAAGAAATCTTGGACTGCAGCTCACAAGGCAGTAAATCTAGCTGTAGTATGGTTTCATCCTCGTTGTCTCTTCTAGATCAACATTTGTCTGACAATGAATATGACAACTCATTATTTGATTAAAGTATAAAAATGTCCTTTCAAATACTACCAGATTAGACATGTATAACCGTGCGTGAGCTCAGCAGAGATGTACCTCACAGTTTGTATATATCGCAGATAGAGAAAGTTGGGGTCTTGAAGTCCCTGGCAAGATCTTGAGTCACACTCGCATCTTCATCCATCAAAAGTAGCTCGATGAAGCAATTCCTGAGATGTCAAGAATCAACTCAGAAGTAGGATTGACCCTCAAGTATCGGCACTGAGGACAGTAATGAAGTGTGCCTCCAATTTATGCTTCAAATTCAAATATTCAGGGTACAGGCCAAAATTTTCTATACATCATGTATCAGGCCGTGCTCCATTGTACCTGATCTATGTGAACAGTTTGAGTATTTTGGTCCGGC